CCGCATGGGCCATCAAATGCAGCAATTCAAAACTGCCTGTTGTTGAACAAATCAGAAAAAAAAAAACTATTTTTAGTAAAGAATAAACCTTAATGGGAAAACGAGGCGTTGCTCCTGCCAAAATCCCCGTATAGCAGATAATCAGGAAAGCCAGGAAGCAATATGTCCTAAAAGAAAGTTCAGCAGAGTGACCATCTAAAGCAGTACCTCGCAGAAATTGTAAATTTTTCAATAAAATAGAAAACAATAATCCAGATGCCAAATTCTTGAGCTCCGCCACTCTGCAGCAAAGCTTCAGAAAGCACCCACCAAATTAAGACGATATAATGAATTCGATTCTGAAAATCTACGCCACAGATCGGATAGTACTGCAGCGGAAAGCCATCCTGCATCTCAGGTGCCTTTCCACTCGGGATACAGTGAAAATCAAACTGCTTCTGATACTGCTGCGCCGCACAAAAATACTTTTCGCGATAAAGTTTCTGTAAATGAGGAAAATGTATTTCAAATTACAATTTCTTGCACCACGAATCGAAATTACAGTACGGGATTGCTCCAGATACTCCGTAACCTACATAACAATTCACACTTACAGAAGAGTGGGGCTAGGACCACATGCATGCGCAGCTCATTCCACACAACATGCGGATGTGCAGCAATAGAGACTTGCTGTATTGCAGAAGTAATTTTTACAGGACAAGAGAGACATACAGGTCCCAACAGCGAAAAGAGTGACTCGGTGTGACCGCACGGTCCGATTGCTTGATGTATCCCTTCGGCGACGATATCCTTCGGATTGCTCCACACAACCAGCAACATGTACAATAAGAAGTACATCATAAACACAGCGGTCAATTCATCCCATGCATCACATTGCTTAGCAACTCCTTTCTCGACTTCTGAAACACAGACACTTCCACTCAAACCAGCACCTCCCCATTTTCCGAAAGTACATACAATCGACGCAGCCACTCTCGCCAATGCCAGAAATTGGAAGAAAACAGCATCTATTAGGATGTAAGACATGAAGAAAATGGGGAAGAGTGGAAAGTCAATCTCGCCACTTTTTGGGAAATTTTTGCAAGTTTTAATGTATTCAAAAAGGAAAAAAAAAAACATACTTCGGTGATGGTGATGATGATGGTGGTGATGGGTTCGGTGATTGATTATCGCTGCATTCACCGTCACACCACCGTAAAGGCACAAAAGAAGTACAAATGGGACCAGTGAGTGAAGCTGAAAATTCACACATCAATCACTGTTCAACACATACACAACAGAAGCAAGAGGAGGATTTTCTTACTCGACAAAGATCGTGTGGTACGTGGAAAAAAACAATGTACTGCACTGCGGTAAGGCAAACGGCAAGCAAAGCGGCGCTTATTGCACAGCACAGTTCTGGCACAAACCTGCAAAACAACAAAACTGGCAAAGTTTTACTGCAGTTCATTAACAGGGCCAGTTCTGAAGCGATGACTACTTCCCAATGCGCGTTCCCGAAATTCCCTTGAAAATTCAGCGCTCACTTCACAAAACATCTCAAAAATAAACACATTCTGAGACTTCTGCTAAGTTCTACCCCGCGTTTCAGACAGAGGTGCAAGATTATTACTTAGGTTTGGTCAGTCTCGACCCACTCACTGATACACTATCTGGAAAAAGCTTAAACACGAAAAATATATACATGCCCTGCAGTATTTGTCGCCTCCAATCAAAAAAGAAGTCACGCAGCGAAAGACCCGTTTTGCTCTTTTTTAAAACCAAATAAATTAGAAATCGCATACACCGAAATGCTTAAAAGTCAAACTGTTGGCAACTTCGCTTAACTGAAAATATTACGGGAAGTTGTCTGGAAAATGTGCACACCAAAACACAAGAGAATTTGCCCACAGTACGCACTCAGCAGCTAGGAAACACACGATGAGCGAGCCTCACAGTACCGTATGTTTGCAAAAAAGCATGAAAAGCAAAAAGATAGTGGAATCGAACTTCTTCCAATCGTATTCTTCTTGAAGCCACCGTTTGCGAAGGAAATTCAGACAGAGGTTGAATGACGTTGCCAACATGCCATTCACAGCCAGCATTACCAGAGGGACTGAGTAAACCCTAAAAACAGTTTCTGCAATCCTTCGATGATGATCATCAGCTCGATCTGTCATCCCTTCCCCGAAATTACCAGCTTCCGCTGATTTCAACTTTGGGCGTCTTTTTCAAATATACTTGGCGGAATGCAACAGTGTCTCTCAGCGTCTGGCTGAAGGAAGCAGCGTAACGGTGGCCCAGGATCATCAGCGCCAGCAACTGGCTACCACAAGGCGATATAGCTCTGCTCATAATCGAGGCGAAGAGGTTGCCAAGTGCATCAAAAAATAATTGGCCAACGCATGAGCTGCCCATGCGAAGGTGCGTTTTTTGCACAGCTCCCCACAGATTTTTGTCGCTAACAGCAGTTTTTTCTGGCAGATGCTTCTAGCTAAAAGAATTTCAGATTGACCGCCAGGACTGTCAGGAAACATCCTTTCAAAATTCCAATTTTTTAGCTTCTCAGGTTCTCGAGTTATCGACTTGCCGGGAAAAAACGTCCACGGGATCGTACGTGGGTGTCACGAACACCCGGGGGCTGGGTTTGAGCTTAATGAGACCTAGGTGGACGGGGAATATCCTCTTAAAATTACAGTCTTCTAACTTTTCAAATTCCGAAAAATTTGGCGGGCCCGTAAGTGGGTACAACGCATAGTCGAGGGCTGAATTTGAGCTCATCAATAACTAGTTGGACGGGGAACATCCCCTTAAAATTTCAGACTTCCACATTTTTAATTCCCCAGTTAGCAGCTTAACCGTAAAAAACTTTGGCGGGCTCATACGTGAGTGCCACGCGGGCAAGAGCGCTCATTTTGGGGATTGGGGCCCATACGCGTATGTAGATTAAGTTTCGAAAGTTTCAGCCCTGTAGCTTTTATAGGTCTTGAGATGAAAAATGGGTACAGATGCACACACACACAGACAACCCCTCGTCAATATGCTTTCTGCACTGCATAGCTGCAAAAAACGCATAAAAACGACCACAGCTCGACCAAATAACCGCCCCTGCTAATCTACCAGCAATTCATCTAAAGAGACATTTTTTCGTACCCTACAAAAATAGTCGGAAAAATGTGGAATTGCGGAACATACGTGTCACGAAGACGAGGGTCGTTATCGTGCCACTGCCACCACAACAGCTTGGTACCGACCACCTGCAGAGGGAACGACAGCATCAGCACAAATAACCCGTTCGTTGTTGCTTCGCCCCACCATTTGAGGCGCATCCTGCAAAATCGGCCGCTAGACAAGCAGTGCGGGCAAGAGAGGTGCTATCGGTCGGAGATAAATACGAACCTTCGCACCACCACGTAGGACGTGTAAAAGAGTGTGTGGTAGACGCCGCAGAGCAAAAAGAGCGGCGTACGCATCCCCATGAACGTCATGCTTGTCTGTGTGTACCAAATCACCTCTGCGCCATTCCCAATGAATTTCGTACATTCGACAAAAAGCCCCAGAAAGTAGACGCCAATCCACGTGTACGCATAGCGCGATCCATGGCGTTTTGCTTTAATAAAAATCAAATGAACTTCATTTGTGTTAACAAGCAAAGCGCTGCGGTAAGCTTTTAAAGGTCCGGCTTCAGCTTTTTTAAGCTTTCGGGTCAGTTCACGCTTTCTTACGTCATTTGGAACTGAGCTTAATGCTTCTTTCATTAGTTTTCTGCATCTTTAAACCGAACTTCCTTAACGACATGAAGTCTTAGTAGCCCCTTTAGGCAACGGAAAGCAAAGGAGCATATAATTAATGCTAAAAATAAAATCCTCTTCGCATTTGCTTTGCATGAGAAGTGGGGGGAAATAATCCGAGTGGGCAAGTGCCGGCGACGATCGCCTGGTTCCCTCTTTCAGGGTTGCTTGCAAGCATATACCAATATCAATTTAACATCGAAACGAAGAAACAATCGGCTATCCTCCCAGGCGAAATTTCCTAAAACAGTAAATGGCGCACCAGAAGATGAATGGCGAGAATAAGCTTACCATGGCGCATTGTGAGAAAGCAAAAAAGCAGGAAGGTGAATTCAGCGACCAGAAGACTGCCGTGATTGTGCAGAAACCAACGCAATTCGCGCGTCTTGCAGCACCAGTCAGCCAGCTGAACAACAATACATGCATTTGTCCAGTGAAACAAGGGCGCACTTCAATTTTGTGAGCACCGAGAGAGAGAGAGAGAGAAAGAGCCAAGGATGCTCGGAGTGTCTCTTCGTAGGCAAAAACAATTTTCGGGCAGATGATCGGAGTGTAGACGTACCGCATCACACGCGAGGAAGAGGCGTAAACAAGCAGCTGCAACGAGTAACGGCGAAGGCTCGGAAGACGCGCGTGCAGGGTGAGCCCCCTGGACTTCTCGGAAGCCCTGGGACAAATAACACTTACCATGACAATCTTCATGGCGAATGAAATAATTTTGCTTCGGCTGTCCGGGCCCACTCGGAACGGAAGATATTTGAAGACGTATGCGTCAAGAAAATACTCCATACCTGCAAGCAGCACTGAATTTTACATGCACATTTTCCATTCCCAGGCGGCATTCCGCCTTCCAATGCACCCCACACTCTCTGATCCGGAACCGCCCTGTGCAACTGCAACAACACTCCGCGAGATGCCAGGAATCCCGGAACACCTCCTTCCCCATCCCAACTGCACTGCTTAAACGGCCCATGCTCAGGCGTGGCTCGAATGTAGGGAGCAAAAATGCCATCCCAGCAAGCACGCACATATTTCCCGAGGCAAGCAGAAATTCCCGCCAAAATGCACTTTAAAATTGCAATCTGTAGCAGCCGAAGAGCCTCTCGAGTGGATCATGCAGCTTCCTGGGAATGCTAGGGTGTGCCGCACTGGCCAGCGGCAGTCGATGTTCCTGGATTCGAGCTGGCACCCCCCCCCCCCCCCCCCCCCCCCCCCCCCCCC